TCTCCGGGAGATGAAAGGCACTGCATAAATCTTAGTTATGACTATTAAAAGAAGACTGAGTGAGTTGTCCCTGCCTAGAGGCAGCTCTTGTATGTGGCTTGGCTGTTTGTCGGTAAATCATAGAAACCTGCATTACTGGTTTGCTTTACTGGATATGAAACAAGTGCTGGATGACACCTTGTGTATCACCAGCAGCTTTCCTGCAATTTCTCAAAGAAAATAAGCACAATATATGGCCTACCCGCTGTGAGAACATCTGAAATCCCACAGACAGTAAAAAGCCTTTGAGTAAACTTCTTCCACAGAGACTTTTGGTAATTTGCCCCATATCATTTACTCTGTGTTTAGACCGTATCACTACACATTCTTATTTAGACCATATCACCATGGAACAGAACTCTTCTTACCTCACTGATCACTTTTTGTGTACATGAGAATTTGATAGGAATATTTAAAAAAAAAAAAAAGAAAAAAGAAAAGTCCTATTCCTTTGTTTTGGGCTCCTGATTTTAAAACTTTCATTTAGATCAATCTGCCCGTTATTACCTCCTGGCTAGCAAGTACAAATTTAGCTCCTGCGAGAGTCCTAACAAAGGACTAATCTTCTATCCTTTATTTATGCGAGCAAATTGTTACATCTTAGTGGAACTAATCACAAGAGGAGAGCTTTCTGCTCTCATCAGGACTTTAGGGCCCGAGTGAATCACGCTCAATATACACCACTAACATCTTCACTACAATCTTGTATAGCCAGAATACTATATGATGCTGACAAAAAAGTAGCATCTTCTTTGAAGAGTGCGAAAGAACTCTATGGACATTAATTCTTGTAATGCCCAGAAAGATGGTTGCAGCCATTCTGGAGAAAGGTAAATCGAGTTGTAGTAAGGGTCAATGATTCATCCAATACAGAAGAGATCAACAGCTGTGACTGAGCCATATTCTCCATAACCCATACAATTCGCATCATTATATTTCGCTCTCTTCCCAACAAGCACTAAAAAAGCAGCCCCTCCTTTGATTTATGCTGAATTCCTCTCGACCCACAAAGCAGCCGCTAATTGTACTTTACGTACACAGTGGAATGGGACCTTTAGGAATAGGTTTTTAGTAACTCTGATGACACCTTTCTAGTTAGTGCAGTGTAGCACTATCCTATTTAAGACTGCTTTGTTTAATTATTTAAGAGCCATTATGGTAACGGGGTATACTCTAACTGCAATTTATTCACTCATATACTTGAATTATATAAGTCTACCTTCACTTCATAGAATTACAGATGAACTGGAATAAGGTAATAGTATCAAAATGCTACAGATCATTCACTGTGGAGACATATGGAAAATGCCTTAGCTTCCATAGTAAAGGGGTGCACCAGCTTTCCAGACTATGCACCAGCGACTGTAAGAATAATTTCATACTCTGGCACCAACAACTATATGAACAGTATTAAGAAAATGTATGTATTTTCTATAAAAGAATATGGATATGTATGTGTACATACACACACACACACACACATACATTGATAGACAGGTCTTTAATATAATACTAGCACTTGCTTCCCTTTTTTGTGCAAGAAATGCTCCTGCATCCATCTGTTCATTTCTTCCCTCTCTCCCTGTTCCTCCAAATACATTTCTTCACATCCTTGTCTCTTTTTCCACTCTCGTGCTCACTTTCAAGTTGCCTGGTCTTCTTTTCTCAGTTGTCTCCATGCAACGTGGTTGCCTGCTCCCTGGACACATTGCCCATTTGCCTGAATCCCTCGTCACCTTCCTCTTCTGCCTGGCTGCCAGGCTGCCCTCTTCCTGCCAGCATGGGATATCTCTTTTTTCTGGAAAATAACAGCTCCAAAAGCAGCACCTTCAAAGCAGCTCTCCTCTTGCTGCGACACAGCGGCCACTCTTGCCAGAGGCAGCTAGATTCCCTTTCCGCCATTCAGGCTCTTTTATACATCTCTGAGCTGTCACTTGCAAAAAGAATAGAGACACATGGAGAAGCAGATGAAGAAAAAAAAAAAATCGAGAGTAAATCATGTGAGCAACCAGCTACTTGAAAGCCAGAGCAAGTACTCGCAGACCATCTCAGGGTCATAAATTAATTTGGAACTGCTTAAAAAGGAAAACTTTTAGCGCTGGAGGTTCTTACTTATGGTAAGCCTCTTCAAGAGGATATTGCTGTAGTTACTGCACGTATCTCTCTTACAAATGGTATCCCAATATGCTTACAAGAAGCTGTACTTCAGACAATATGTCGTAGACACTATGAACGTGCAGAGCCACCCTCGGTCTAGAATCCTGGGCTGCAATGTACCTGCTGTTCACACGGAGCAGGGCAGAGTATAAAACTGATAACAGCAATTCTGCCAAGTTTTTGGAGCCAGCCTCTTTTAAGAAGAGGATTGCACCCCTATACTGCCTTGGAGGCTCAGTTGTTCTAAAGCAAAAAGTGGAAAAACTCATAATTTACCTGGACATACTGCTCTTGCGATGAAAGTCATCTGCTCTAAACGAAAAGCTCGCCAAAAACTAAAAGCTACATAGACACGCCTGAGAAAGATTATTAGGAGATGTACAATACTTCCCTGCACTGACAAACAAAATTGTGTCATCACTAATGCACAACATCCCTCTTATACTTAACCTTTATATGCTAGCAAAGTACAGTGTCAAGATTGTCTTTCAAGCACATGTCTGCAACTGAAAGCTTTTAATATCCTCCTTCCTCCTCCCTCAAAGCTAAGTTAGCAGGAACACAGCAAGACTCAGTCACTTATTAAAGCACTGTCTTGTCAGGCAGTATGTTCTTTTCTGCAGGGCACTAGTGAATTGAATGTGCAAGAGAGACAACAAAGAAAAAGCTGTTTCACGAAAGGGATTGCTGGTCGTCTCCCAAGATACTTCACTAGCAAGGAAACTTCCCTGCCCAGTAGAGAACAAAGAAATCCTACGACAAGAAATGAAGATTTAGGAAATCACACAAATGAAATAAAGATGCAGAAAGACTCTGATGGACATGACAATCTGGAACTTTTAAAGTAAATGCTGATTCAGCGGTAACCTGAAAACATGGGACCTAATTGCTTTGATTGCCCAACCCCAGGCGAACCTCTCCCTCCCTTCCTCTCCTTCTGCAAAGTGGATTTGGAAATGTTAACTCTCACTGTCCCGTTTTACACTGACAATGTGCTTATTGAACAGAGCAAGTGCTGTGTAGAGAGTGCTTGAGAATCAGGCCTTGTGGCATGCACTCTTATGCTTAAGAGCATGAAATAAATATTATTATCTAACTGTGTGAATTTAATAGTGTGTGAAAGCAGTAGAGGGATTTCTCCATCAAAAGCAAATGGAACAAATATGGTAATATTAACACATCTTTACTGCACAGTAGCTATGCATGCATTTGCACCGGGTATAAGCTAATATAGGATAATATAGCTTTGCTACCCTAGAGCTTCCGCGCAGCTGTGCTTGCTGTGGAGATGAGACAGCGTGATGAGGACTCCTATGTTTCTGTACCAGTAACCGCCACCTTCCACCAAGACTACAGCTGCTACATACTCCTACTAGCTCACATCTCTTCCTGCCTTTAATACTATGTCTATATCCGTAATTACTTTGATATAGTCTCACTAGTCGTTTACACCAAAGTCAACAGCGCTTTTTGGGTTCTTCAGCTTCTGATGCTCAACCTGAGATCAGCTGACCAGCCAAAGAGATCTATACTTCTCGCTGGAAATCTCTGCTGCTTAGAAGACTCAAAGACGTGGCAGCACACACGCAGCAAGTTTCCAAGGACCATTGGCTCTTCCATGTCTGAGCTGTACACACGCATTCGCAGTGAGTTTCGGTTGGATTCGGTTGCAAGCAGCATCTGCACAGTAACCGTGAGCCCAGCCAGGACCCACCAGATGAAAGTTCTGCACTAATGGACATGTTTATTTTATTTTATTTTATTTTATTTTATTTTATTTTATTTTATTTTATTTTATTTTTTTCTATTTTTTTCGGACAAAATTCTGTCCAGAAAAATGAGACACAGCTGAGAAGATAGATGCACGGCAGCCTTGACAGTCTAAGTTATAGGATTTCATGCTTAAAATCTCAGTTGGAAAATGGCTACCAAAAATTAGTGGCTTTTTAAAAAAAAAAAAAAAGGAATATTTTACAGGGCCTGGACCATCCAGTGCAACTTCTCTCACATGGGTAGCTGAGATTCTGAACACAGTCCTAAAGCAAGGGGGGACGGGGAAGAACCAAAGCAAAACCCCCAAACATCCCCAAACTCAAATATTTTGAGGTTTCAACAGGGCAATTAAAATATTAATAGAAAAAAATATCCAAAATTAACTTTGCAGCCACAGTGTTAAATTTACACAGTTCATTTAGTTTTCTTTTTTATTTTACTTTTCAGAAAAAGGGAATTGTTTCACATTCAGTAAAACTGACATTTAATTAGGCTTTGTAACTCACATGCAATTGAATAAAATACCTGGAAAAGGGCATATCCATCTTACGTCGTTTTATTCCGCGGTTTCAACTAACACAGGATGCCTGCATAAACAGTGGCTATAGCTTGACAAAATGTAAGTGTTTTGTTTTTTGAGTGAAATTTCAAAAGCAAGGATCTTTGCAAATTGTTGCACGTTCAATTATTTAAGCTGCCTTTCTCCTCTGTCTCACACCCAATGTAAAGAGAAATGGCCAGCAGAGACTCCAGTACCGCTCGTCGTAGAGCGTTCAGTTTCTCATCCAAAGTGTGTCAGGTAAAGCTGAGTGTCTCCATACTTACATGCTTACCACAGTACACTTACATATATATGTAACTTAATTTGCATATAATTTTATTACATGTTAAGATTTTCAATTACTTAGCACATTAGGTGTTTAAAAAAAAGAAGCTGGCTATTAGTCTGGCAGCAGGAGCTGCTGGAGGGCCCAAAACTTGCAAGTTTGACCCTTGGTAACAGTGACTTCCAGCTTTTGAAAACCAAGAGCTATTTCTGAGGTCTGAGTGACGCTACAGTCGCCCTTGTGCAGAGAGGTCAAGCGGACCCGGGTGCTCTTGGAAAGCCATAAGCAACACAAAAAAGCTAATGCCTATAATTAAGTTGAAGGACACGGACTTTTTGGATGAGACTCATTAAAGCGTGAATAAAGCTTGTGTTCTGCAGAAATGATGAGAAGTTGTTAGCAATTAAATTGCCCAGTACACCACAAAGGGAATTACTCTGGATTCCCCTCTGACTGAAGAGCTGTAAGGCTTTGTGCAGCTTCCTAAAAATCTTGCCAGGACAGAGTGAAAGGAAAACAGTGTGGTGGGGCTTTCGGTATGAGATTCAACTGCTGCAACTGTAGTAGAATAAACATAGGAAAAAGGCAGAAAAATCATCTTGCCAGTGCACGTATGGATAGAATAACGTATTATTACACCTACAGAAGGAGGGTGAATTTGGCACTCAATATACCAAAGGAACAACATAATTTATTTCTGCTGAAAAGCAGTTTTAAAATTTCAAGGCAGCCGGAATGAATGACACACGAAGCCACCGGGAGGCAGTATTGTCACTTTGCAAGTACCTTATCAGAGTCCTTTTCCTTCTGCTGCCTGCCCTCGGTCCTAACAGTGGGGAGCACAGCGTAACGGCATTATCTGCAGGTCAACTCCCAAACAAGAACATCAAAGTGCAGAAAACACACCATGTATAGATATTTACAGGCTGATGCATTTGTACCTACCTTGAGTAATACTGAAAATATTTGGAATAAAAAGTGACGAAAGCAGAGCTCATACTGAACGAACCAGGACTTTAGGTGTTTAAGGAAGAGCTTCTTTGTACAGCAGAAATTATCGCATTTCTACAGAGTCCACATTCCTCTTTCAAAGTTGCAAACTGAAACGCAAAGGAAGAAACCGAAAGTGGTGATTGAGTATGACTCTTCTCTCACATGACAAAAGCCCTTAAATTTGTGTCGTATTAATTTTCCACTGTATCAACCCCTTTGATTATAACCTTGCAAGAAGTAATAAAGCTATGTGTGTGGCACATTTTAGAGATGAAAATCAGAAGCCAGAGAAGTCTAGGAGACATGCTGTTCTTATACTGTGTCTCATCACAACACCAAGTTTAGAAAGTCCAGCTTTTTGCTTCCAGATACAACTAAATAAAATCAGTTTTGTCATGTCATAAATAATCCTTCTGCAGCTTGAAGAATCTTGTAGGTCTTTTTCCTTCCTACGTTCCATAATTATGAAGGCGCCTAATCAAAAAATGTGACCCTCACTCACATAGTGCCACAGCCAGAGCAGACTTTACTTGTTGTTCTTGTCTTACGTATGTATTCTATTTTGAAAGCTGCTGTAAATTTGGGGAAAAAAATATGGCAATATTTAGCATTTTTGTTGCTGTATAATGAAAATCACATATGAAAACTATTATTTCAAAGAATGCTTTATGATCTTTATTGGTCCATACATATATAAGAGTTTAGTCCCTGAAGCTGGCCATGCCTATAATATATTCTTTGTCTGCTACTCGGGATATTTCATATTCAGGATATTTGCTGTTTTTCACATACAGCTCTAATTATTGTTGATAAATGTGCCACCACCTTCCTTGACTGTCCAGCAACAATTAACTCAGAAAGACATGCTCATAGCATGAAGTCGAGAAAAATGCATAGTGTAAAGAACCAAAAGTGGACAACTTTAAGGCATGCTGTACTTTGAATTATTTAGCTCTCAACACGGAATACATTGGGAGAAATATAACACTCCTCTTTAGTGTAGAGGCTTTAACGTTACAGTGAGTCTCAAAGGCTAACCCTCGGGAGTATCAGACATGATGCCTGGCATATTTGTCTACGCCAAGAGCTCGCGTGCAGGCAGGTGCAAAGAGCTTTAATTTTGCTTCCACTCCAAGCTAGCAAAGTGCATGTCACCTCCAGGCCTGCATAGCTGCAACTGCGTGAGGTGGCATCACCTGAGATGACGGAGACGGTCAATGACATTACATAGCTTTGCTTGCAGAACTTGCGTTTTGCCATGCCAGAACGTGGGGAGAGTTAGCACACGCCTGCCCGGCAGGGCGAGGATATGTCCAGGGCAGTTTGCTGTATGGGGTGCTAACCAAAACCTGACCCACCGCTCTGTCGTAGCTTCTCTTTGGCCAATTTTCTGTACTCTGGATACTCATCTGTAAAAGATTTCTCTAATTACCAGACTATCATGAAGATAAATCAGTTAATGACTGCCATGCACTCTGATACCTCTGTAATGAGGCTCATGCAATATACTTCTGAGAACTGTCTCCGAACTATCTTCCGGAAAAGTGCCGCAGAGCTGGACAGGCAGGGCGTACGTGCCTCGGGGAGCAGAAGAACCAACAGCTTCAG